CTAGATGCAGACGGCAGGCGACCGCCCACACCGCCAACGGCATGCGCTCCGCAAGGGTCAGGAGGTGGTCTGTCAGAACAGAGACGGGAGATTCCATCTCGTACTTCATCGCGGCGCGGAGCATGGTCTCTATCGCATCCAGGGGCTGGCCGAGGGGAGGGTTTCTAATAGGGTAGCAGATGCGGAGAAGCGTCTCGATCGTCCCGCTGTCCTCGGCGAGATCGACGATGGGTGCGTGCGGAGACTCGGCGTCCGCTTGAGGTTGCGGGAGTAGGAACATGCTATCGAACACCGGCGAGGCTTCGATGAGAATGTGGCGACGAACCCGGAAGTCTACGCGATCGCAGGTGCGTAGGACGATGTCCGCACAGGGCTTGTCGAAAGGGTATGGAGCGAGTCGACTTTGGGAGGAGGACTCCTGTAGGGAACCATCGTCGGTCGCCGGAGGAGAATTGACCTCGGCCGATGGCAACGACATGCTCGAGAAGACAGGGCGTAATGGAGTGAGGGACAGCAAGAAGAGGACGAGGAAGAGGTGGTGGACCTGCGCTTGCGCGGCTTCATACTGCCTGTCACATGCTGCAGCAGTGTGCAGCTCTTTGCGGACCGCGATTCTACAGGGCATCAGTTGCCTCTCCAGGAGGCACGTTGTGACCTCGTGTAACTGCTGCAGAACAGAAAGCTGCGATAGAATACGCATGGGGTACTATTTTACGGCGGCCTACCGCAGTTCAAAGTTCTGCAAAGTTTCTTTGAATGAGCACCGAGCTACCTGGACACAAATGGCAGACCCCTACCGGAGAATTCGTCTTCTGTATGTAATTGAACACATTCCAGAGCTGCATAGACCTGAGAGAGGTATCGATATCGGTGCATGCGAGACGAGGGGTCGACTAGGGGTCGACTACGGGACCAGATACTCACCTTCCCTGAAGGGCATTCAGTTTTCATCGTGTTCGTGATCACTTACCTTTTCACACCCTCTACTCGGTCAAATACCGGTGTGGCCGAGGCTAGCGCCCGCGTAGCGCGTGAGCGCTTATATGTCTAAGCCTCTCTCGACGAGAACTCGTATGTGCTTGCCTCGTACCGAGCATTCCACCGTGTCCCCTGACCTCAAGAAGCTCAAATATTACTCTAAAACCCTGAAGCCTACGACTTCTCGCCGATTTTGTGGTCAACGCCCACACATGCTAATTAGCTGACATTTACACCGGTTAATGTCACCCTGGGGGTCCGCAGAGGGTGTCCTGCTAATTAGCTCCGGTCAATTAGACCCCGACCCTGATTGCCCGCGCCCTAATGCGAGTATGTAATGAGAGTGTCGAGTAACTGAAGCCCTCCACGCCACTCACAAAGGTCAGTCTTTGCGGCACCCTCGTCCAGCGCATCAGCCCCAGTGACCGACGTCGGGACATGATGCTAATGAGCTCTCGGCACACGCGTAGCTCCTATCGAAATACGGCATCCGCGTGAACATGCGCGAATCCAAGCGCAAGCGCCGCACGAAGCCTGAGATAGATGCGGATGCAGAGCAGGAGGACGCGTCTGCGCGCCGCAGTGGCCAGACCGCCGCCGGGTCGTCGTCCCCGACGCGGACAGCGCAGTGCTCGGGCCCACAAGCACCACGTCAGTCGCGTCGTCCTCCGCGTCCGGGCCATACGCGCGGCCGCGAGTGCGCAGGCTCTCGCGCGGGCCCGCGCACGGCATGTACCGCGGGCCCATGGACGTCGATGAGCGGGACGCGGGCTGCTGAGCGGCCGCCTAGCTCCTGCTCTCTGCTTGTGCTCCGCACCTTGCCAACGTCTTGTGCGCCGTGTGCGCCGGCCATCCCTCGCGCGATCGTGGCCTCCACCTGCGTTGCTTGCCGTGGTACGCTAGTATGCTCGCGTCTCATGTGCCGCCCCGTTCCCGTATGTAGTTTCTCACACCTGGTGGGACACGCCCGCGCGCCCCGTTGATATCGTGTGTATACTCGTAGCTATCGCTGCTGTCATCATCGCATCGCTCCGCTGTCAGTCTCGACGATGCCATAGTTCATCGTAACCATATTGCAGCCCGGCACTGGGGCTCACACTTTCGCAAGTCTCGCAAATTTTGGTGGCCGAACCGAGCCCCCTATGCGCTGCTGCCGGGCTTCGTTGGCCTCGTCGTCGATAAAAACGCAACACCAATGCAAAGCCGACCACCTGCTCGCCTCAGCGACCGCGAACTGCACGCGCGTCCCCCACTCGCTCGTTTTGTACGCCTCCTACGTGCTCGTATTCGTGCTGTACCTGGCGAGGAATCGAGCGTGTAAATGATTGTATGACCTGCGATACGGTTCATTCCGTAGCCGAACGTAGGGCTTAGATCGTAGCCAATCGTGACGTAGACAGCCTTAAAACTGGAGATATTACTACATACTACTCCCGAGAGGAGGGGGCCCTTTTGCATTCCAACTAGGCACGCATCGATATCCACGGCGTTCCGTACACCGTGCCCGTACACAATCGGCACCTCTGAGTGCCGAACTGGGTCCGCTTTATAGATCTGTGTCCGGAAGGTGTCGCAGGAGGCGAGATCATCGATCCTCCTGGTCGACGGGAAGCCTCAGGTACGGGTTCGGAATCGGCGCCAGGCTCGACGAACGGATGCGGCGACTCGGTGCCGCAACGTGGTCGCCTGCGTATTTGTTAGTACGCCGCGGCGCATTAGAACGAGCTAGGACTTACGCTTGCGGCTCCCACTGGGTGACCGCTGGTGTCTCTTGAAGGAACTGGTGGGGCTGTCGACTGGGTTGCCGTCACCCCGCGATCCTCCCCCGCTTGTCCGTTCTGTGCAGGCGCCGAGGCATTGTTCGCCGCGTCCCCTGGCTTGCGCCTCAGCAATTTCAACCGAGTATCCTCCAGCTCAGCTAGGAGATCCTCAGCGGTGCGCGGGTCTAGCGGGTCGTAATTGTCCCTTATGCCCACGGCGTCGTCCGGTTTCTTCGTTTGGGCTTGTATAGGTTATATGATGAGCGCGGTCGCTCATGCGGCTATGGCGCAACACTCACGATATCCCTCCAATCTCCTCACTGTCGTTGCGAGCCCCTTGATGTCGCCCCCAAGTTGGAGGAACCGAGTGACCTCGAGGCTATCCTGGGCAAGTTGAGGGATGGTGTAGGCCCGCTTTCTACGAAGCTTCCGCCAACGCGACTGAATCACGCGAACAGTCACGTCCGCGTTTCGATGCTGGACCTGCACCGCGCGTAGTTCGGATATTGCCTGGTCGTACTCATTCTGGTGCGGTTGGCATCGGGAACGTACACCGTGCAAGGCCTCTGTGGAACAGCGTATGCGGCCATACTTGGATGGGTGGGTGTGATACGCAACACATGTGCGGTGCGCAGGCAGCGAGCGAGTGCGAGTGGTCGTGGAGCTGGTATAGAGGTTAGAGTGGTAATAGCGTCCGGTGGGGAGTGAGTGCGACCTCAGGTTCGTCGACAAGGCACGACCAAGCTGAGAACTGCTTGCTGTTTCTCTCTCGCGGCGTTCCGCCATGAAATGGGTTTCTTGCACCGGACGTTCTCCAGTTCGGCTCCCCTCCGTACGACGCTTCACCTGCGCAAGCCGCCTCTCCTCCGCAATACGCTTTTTGTCGGCAAATCGCTCCGCTGCAAGTTGCCGTTCTTCCGCAGCTCGGCTCCCCTCCCCCGTAATATGTTTCTCCTCGGCAACCCAGCTTCCGTTCGCAATGGGTCTCTCCACCGAGTCAAGTCGCTGCTCTGGCGCTGGCCCAACGTAGGCCTCCGCTGTGCGCCCTTGCTGCGAAAGACACTCCGCCACGAGTCGCTGTTCCGCAAGATGCTCCGTTGCACGTTGTCTCTCTTCAGCAAGGCGCCGCTCGTCTGCCTCAACACGCCTTTGCTCTGCGATCCGCGTCTGCTCCGTGTGTTGGTGCTTATCCGGGCGCCTCTGCGCGTCGGCCAGAGCGGTCTTCTGCTGGCTGAGCTGCTTTGCGACTTTCTCTGTGCAGTTTATAAGATTGCGGAGATGCTGGAGCCGTATTTCGTGACCCTCGTCCGCTACAGCGCCGACGCCGTATGTTAGCACTCGTGATTCCATGCAAGCAAGGCTGAAAGGGAAAACATACGCTCCAAAAAGAACCGCCTGAGGCAATCCTCCCGCTGGTGCATCTCCATCTGGAGAGTGCCAATGCAACGCCGCGCCGTCTCCATCGCCTTGTCCAAGTCGGCCAGACCACACACGATCGCGTCACTGTAGGGGACGAGCGCATATAGACGCTTTGCCTCCTCGAAGGTCGCCTCGTATTCTGTTGTGCGTCGGACGTACTCCTCGCGGTGCGCGGAACAAAGATGTGGGAGGCGCCCATCGGGCCCGCGGTGCCCTCGCTCGGAGCACGGCGGCTCGTCTTCGTGAGGCACGATCTGACAGAGATCTTCTTGCCTGCCTGTTGTGTGTATTTCCTCTGCAAGACGATTCTTCTCCGCAAGGCCCTCCGCCACCAAATGACTCTCTTCTGCTAGAGCCTTCTCCTCTGCAAATCGCCTCTGCTCCGCAAGTTGCTTCCGAGTCTCCTCCACACGGTTGTGTTCCGCAAGGCGTGCCGCTGCCAATCGGATAGCTTCCAACCGTTCCTTTTCCTCCACTCGCAGCTTCCACTCGTCAAGGAGAGCGGTCTTTTTCTGGAAGAGCTCCCGTGCTACGTCTTTTGCGCGGTGAAGCTTTCCATACAGACCTTGGATGCAAGTTTGGTGGCTCTCGTCCACTATAGTGTCATGACGGCGTGTCAGCACTCATCACTTCAAACGAACCGGGCTGGGCAGGACGACGTACGCTCCACGAAGAACCGCCTGTGGTGCTCCTCCCGCTGGCTGATCTCCGCCTGGAGGGTGTCGATGCAGCGGCCCGCCGTCTCCATCGCCTTCTCCACGTCGGACAAGTCGCGTAGATCATAGCGGTCCAGGCGGACGAGAGCATACAGGCGCGTTGCCTTCTCGGAGGTCGCCATGTATTCCGCCAAGAGCCGGCCGTACTCTTCGTGATGGAACGCACAGAGTCGAAAGGGCCCGCCGTCAGGCCCGCGGCTCCCCCGCTGGAGACATGATGGCTCGCCCTCGGGCAGCATAACTTGGCAGAGGCTTTCGGGCTCGGATGGGTGCTCCCCTTCCACAAGACCATTCTCCGTAAGTTGACTCTTCTCCCCCAGCGCCATCTCCTCCACGCGCCGTTTCTGCTCGTCGACGAGATCAGTCTTCTTCTGGCGGATTCGTGTCACGGCGTCCTCTACGTCGCACATCTTTGCACGCAGTTGTTCGATGAACATCCGGTGTCCCTTGTCCGCTATAGCGCCCCGGCCGCATGTAAGCACCCATATATCTAAGAGAACAGGGTTGAACGCGATGACGCACTCTCACGAAAGAATCGCTGGTGATGCGCCTCTCGCTGGCGGATCTCCGCATACAGGGCATCAATGCAGCGGCTTGCAGCCTCCACCGCCTGTTCCGCATCGGCCAGCTCACGCAGGGCCTCGACGTTCAAGCAGAGCTGCGCGTGCAGATGCTTTGCCTCGGCGGATGTCTCCTTGTATTCCGCCGTGCGCCGGCCGTACTCCTCGCGGTGCTTCCAGCAGAGTTGGGGGAGGTCCCCGTCGCGTCCGCGATGCCCTCGCTGGTTGCATGGCATCTCGTCCCCGTGAGGCACGATCTGGCAGTTGCCTTCAATCTCGTATGGGCCCAACAGACTGGACATTGCTGTCGACTGCGAGTGGGCCGAAGAGACAGAAGCTGTGGGCGGCTAAAGAGGCCAGATGGGATCGATGTCGCCGGCGGTGACGGCGTCGACTCAAGTTGCAGCCGCACGCCAGACGTAGTGTCCTGCAGGATGGACGATGAGTGAAGATTGTGCGCAGAGGAGCGAAAGATAGGCCGCACCCACGCGGCCGGGGAAGAGAGCCTGTGCATGGCAGAAGGTTGACCGATCGTTCACGTACATATTCTGCCACCACGCGCCAGACATGAGGCCTCGAGGCCTGAGGAACATCTTCACCATATGTACGTACATACCTGCTTCTTGGTTATTCTTCGGAAGCGTACCCTGCGTGTGATGCCGGACGTGAGAAGGCACAAATGATCGTTCAAGGGAGGCTGGAACCTCTTGTGAGGGGGGTGGTGATGACCCCCGTGGGAACGGCTAGCGCTAAGTTTGAACGTGCTGACAGCGAACGCGCCTCGCTCACTCCTCGTCAGGCCGGACGAATCGCTAGCGACAGCATGGTGAACACGTCTGAGGACGAGGCTGAGGAGCAGCACAAAATCTTGTACTTTAGTAGCTCCGATTTCTTGCAGATATTATGGTATTGGCTCGGCCGAAGTTCTCCTTATATACAACTTGTGCTGTACCCGGCCGTGCCGGGTTTAGCTTACACGATATTCGACGATCTTAGCTCTATGCTGCTCGGTCGCCAGACGGCTGACTTCCACAGCTGGAGCGTCCAATAGGGAGGGGCCAATGGTTACGCTGGAGGAGAGTTTTGCGCGGAGTCGTGTCTAGTCAAGAGCACGGTCAGTGCCTCAGTCTCGCGCGCACGGATGGTGGCAAGAGCTCTATATTAATTACCTAGTCAAGAGCACGGTCAGTGCCTAAGGAATGACTGTTAGTGTACCATAAAAGAGCGACATAAAACGAATGAGTCGTACCTCAGTCTCGCGCGCACGGATGGTGGCAAGAGCTGAGGTACTCGAGAAGAAAATCGACGAGACGAGCCCGGCGCGATGCTGATGTAAGCTTAGCGCCGAGCGTTCAGTAAGTGAGTGAACTAATCGGGTAAGTAGAGCGCTTATAGCGCGTAAGTAATTACTAGCAGATTCCCGTGCCTCCGCCACGAATATCTTAACGGTTAATTTTGAGATTGCAATAGGAGGAAAGCACAGAGTGACGCAAGTTCACGCGCACGGCAGATGAGCCTGAGAGCAAGGTGCCGAGTGGTGGGGTCTAGGCACGGTAGCGCTCGTCTTGGGCGCCTTTGGAGGGCACTCTTCTGCTGCCAAAATGATTTATTTCGTGGATTCAGGCAGTCCAAACTATCAAACAACTACCTCAATGGCTTAGATATGAGTATAGCTACCCTACAAAACCGGTTCTGGCCGGAGAACGTACAAACTGATACCGTAGATGCGCAAATTTTAGAAGATCATTGTGGCCAATTAGACATATCAACAGCTCATGCTAAGTTAAGAGTCAAGCCAATACACCGCTGCTGGCAGCGCCGTCCTGATCGCTGTCCTGTGAGCATGAGGACTGTCCTACTACAGTATCTACAGAGTCCTCCAACGATACCGCACGCTTCTTCACCGGAGGAAGCGGCGTGTCGGGTGCATCTTGGAAATTCAACCTGCGTCTTGTGCCGGTGGGCGGCGTAGTGGGATCTGTGATGTGCTAGAGCGTCAATAGAAGGTCAGAAGGCTGTAATGGAACACTCACTGTGGACAGGAAGCGAGACATGGGAGCGGGGAAAGTATGCAACACTTTCGAGCGTTATGCGGAACGACTCAGCTGCCATAACCCGGGGGGAGCGTTCGATGCCAGTAAGACGGCCTATGACTGCGGCGTTCGATCCCTCCGTGCTCGGAAGAGGCTTCTTGCTGTTCTTGAAGCGACCAGTGTCCGGGATCTCTACCTGTACGGCGACTGATCCCGGGTTGGCCTCCCTAAGCTGTTGAACAAATTGGGTGGCCTGCACGTCAAACATGGCTTGATCGCGCTGGATATTGCGAGAGGGGCCGTTAGCAATCAGCATAGGCTGCTGATGAGCGTCAGCACCAGGTGCATGAACCATCTATCACTGGAGATGAGTACAGTACCGTCGTATCGTGTAAGATTCAGAGCACTCACCCAGATGATGTCGCCAATGAGGTCATAGTCCGTGTACGGAGCCATGGTGCACAGGTCTGCGACTTCGTTGGGCTGGGCAACCTAAAAACAATTAGTATACTTGTCGGATGCAGAATGATGGCAGAGCGATACTCACCGTGGCCATGACCGCAAACGTCCCATTCTCGGGAATCTCCAGGTTGTCCTTATTGAAGTAACTGTCATAAGAGATCATGTGTCAGCAGGTCATCAGGAAAGCGACAGTAGAGATTGAACGTACCGGAAGCAGGCCGTTAGAGGCATAGACTCCTCTCCCATCCAGAAGCTCGCGTCGAAGGTGATGGAGCGCACCTTTGACGGATTGGCAAGCCGCGGATTCTCGAGCACCGCCATCCCAAAAATGCAGGCTGAGCCCGGAGGGTGCTGTACCGGCGAACTGACAGAGCGGGCGGGATTGGGAGTTTTAGTAGCAGATGAAGAAGAAATAGATGGTGCGAAGACGGTCTTGCGAGCCATGCCAGTAGCAGGGTGAAGCAGATATAGGCAAGAGGAGTGGTAGGCTGAGAGGCACTGGAAAGAGAGCTGGTGCGGTCGGGGTATAGCCCGCTTCTGCCGTCCTTTTGTACTGAGCTGCGGGTAGTCGAACGAAGTTTCGAGACATAGCGAGCTCCCACCAGCGTCAAGCCCGAGTGACTCGACATCATAGTAGTGGGTTGCCTACTCAACACGTAGGTTGTCGCCCAGAGCTCGGATCTCGGTGTGTAGGTGGGCCAGTAGTGCCAAGGCAAACAGTGGGTGGGCTAGAGTGCGAGCAGGAGCAGAGTGCAGCGCGCCGGGTGCTGCCGCCGCACCATCCATCGTGCTGCGCTGCATGGGCGCTACGTGAGCGCCTATCCTGCAAAGGCATCGTTTGAACACCAATCCCTTTGATTTACTCTGAGACTACTACTTCTAGTCTAACAGTACTTCTGGATATACGATGTTTGCGGTAGTACCTAAATGATCATAAGGCAAAAGAATCTGAATGTGTCTAGGTGAGCTTACACGCGACAGCGCAACGTACAGCTGTCCATGCGTGAAAATAGGAATGCGGAGATCGAGCCCTACATGCTTCACTGATTGTCCTTGTGCCTTGTTTATGGTCATGGCAAAAGCGAGGCGAATGGGGAACTGGCGTCGGGAGAGCTTGAAGGGGAAGTTGCCGGCGTTGGATGCAGGATTGAGGACTATGCGAGGCAATAAAGCGATTTCTCCGTGATGCGACCCACCAATGAGCTCGACCTCGAGCACCCTATTGGACATGCGGCGAACAATCATACGGGTCCCATTGCAGAGACCACGCGATGGTGCCAGGTTGCGGAGAAGGATGACTGGACAACCGACCTTCAGATGCAGCTCTCCGAGTGGTAATCCCGAAGCCCTGAGTGAACGAAGGTATTCGGGAGGGTAACCGTCGTTATCGAGCTCCTGATCTGCTCCAGGTTCGAGGATGATGGAGTCGACAGAGTGGAAAACCCGTTCTTCCCCTGCGAGACAGTCTAGCACTCGCTGGTTGACGTCGTCGACGTCCTCATTCCGCGCAGAGAGAATGGAGCGGTTGAGGAAGTAGTCGGGTGGGGGCGGGGGATATGAAGAGATGCCGTCGTATACTGACTCGATCAGCGAGTCTATGTCAGAGCAGCTAAGCATGTGCTCAGGAAGGCGGACTTCAGATGGGTCGTCAGGCTCATGAGCCCGCCCATGACCAACATCTAGTAGCCATTGTGCGAAGCGATGGTTGTCTTCGTCGGGGTCAAGCCTCATGTTCTGCCGGAGGTGGAGGACTTCAATGTGCTGCCAAAGATGAGACCTTCGCAACGACGCGTCGACGATGTCCTCCCGGGATCCCTTGACAACAACGGGAAGGATTTGCTGGAAATCCCCACCAAACACGACAGTGATGCCGCCAAAGGGGCGGTCGTCATTGCGTAGATCACGGAGTGTGCGGTCGACAGCTTCAGGTGCCCAGCGATGTTGGTTGGCGGCCTCATCCCATATGATCAGACGCACACGGCGAAGCATGGCTGCATACGGGCTGTCCTTGGGAATGGCGCAGGTTGATTGTGAGTTCAAGCTTTCCACGGGAATCTTGAACATGGAGTGCGCTGTGCGACCTCCTTCTAAAAGAAGTGCAGCGATCCCAGAGGATGCAACGCAGAGGACGATCAAGCCTTCCCCGCGGATCTGTAATAGCACATCCGTGATTAGAGACTGATTCCAATGAGACAGAGCATATACACACCTTGTGACACAGCGCACTATAGAGAAATGTCTTCCCGGTGCCGCCAGGCCCGTGCACAAAGAACAGCTTGTGCTCTTGATTGGTGACCGCATTGATGATCGTCTCGAACGCAGCCCGCTGACCTGCATTGAGACGTGTCTGCTGCTCCTGTGCTTGCTCTTGTTGCTGTTGTGGGTCATAGTCGAGCTGTTCAGCTATGTAGGTGTTCTCAACTTCCGCACCCCAGTTGCGCACAGGGAGAGGCATGCCAGGATACTGCGCAAGGGAGGAGCCATGCTCACGGAGTACCCGGTCAAGAAGGAAGAGCCCGTAGTCATAGACCTCCTCGTCAGATGCATTGGGTCGGCCTAGCGTAGATAGACGATGGCGGAGGTCATCGCAGATGTTGTGTCGGAAGTCGTGCCAAAGGACGCCCGGACGTGCGGGCTGACAGAACTGGAGGAGTGTGGCAAAGAGGTAGCGGAGTCGACCGCCTGTTTGCATCTCTGCCGCCTCTTGCAGGCACTCGCGCCACTCGCCATCGTCTTGGAGGAGTCCGCGAGCCAGACAGGCTGCGTAGAAGGAAGGGTGGACCTCCCCGTTTACTGTACGCAGGTCTTCGAAGGAGGTGGGACCACGCACGACGGTGAGCAGGAGGCGGAGGTAGAAGCGTTCGCCTGCGTTCGGCGAGACGAAGTACAGTCGCCCCAAGGCAAACCCACGTTTCCTCGGAACCCAGCGTTTGCCACGCTGCTGCCAGACGAAGAACTGAGGGAATTCTTGATAGGTGTACTGGCGAGCAATCACCCCAACGTCGTCGCTAGCGCATGCTTCAAAGAACGCCGTAAGCATTGTGCGTTCATTTGCCGCACGCTCGAGAACTGCAGCTGGGTCCTCCGCCGGGTTGTAGACGGTGAGATGTTGTCCCGGGAGATGTATCTGAAGACGCACAACGGCCGGACTCTGTTCGTGGAGATCGAAGTGCAGTGTCCTCCAGACGGCTTCCGGTGCGGAGACGTATCGAGCGTCAATATAAGACTTGATCTCGTCGCGTCGGTGCACCTCGAGCGTACCGCGGTCATGGCCTTTGTGGATGTACTTGGTGACGTACTTCACCGACGCAAAGGTGACTGAGCATTCAACGTTGATATGGCAGTTGTAGCGCACCAGGAGATAAGGATTGTACGGTACAATCCAACGGTTGTCGACCATGTGCCGGTTGACCATGTACGCACGGCCATCATCGGGGCGTCGATAGAGCGGGTATCCATCCTGGTTCAGCGACGTGTGCTCCTGGAACGGTTTGGGGTAGCGTTTTGAGCACTTCCCGTTGTCCATGCAAGGAGCGGATGGATTGAGTGCACCGCAAGGACCGTGAACCATGCGAGCCTTGACCGTCTCGAACAGGAGAGGCTCCCGATCTGGGTCAGGCCACGTTGCTCGGATAGCAGAGTCTACAGCAGTGGGGTCGAGGAGTTTGTCACGGCGGTCAAGAAAGATCAGGAGGTGCATATGCGGAAGACCTCGTTTTTGGAACTCGATGGTGTAGATGTGAGCAACAGCGCGGCCGAATATCCCGTCGCGAATGACCTCTCTGATGAGGGCGTTCTTCTTGAGGTTGAACACCCTAGCGATGAGGTCAGGTCGGTCGGTCGGATCCTGTCCCGGAAGGAGCTCCCTCTCGATCTCCGGCCAGCGCGGATTGGCTGTCATGGTGAGGAAGAGGTCGATGTTGCGATAGTAGCGTGCGATGGCCATGCCGTCCTGGAAGAGCTGTTGCATATAGCGAGGGCTGGCGGTGAAGGAGGAAGGGAGTACGATGAGTTGCCCTAGATCATCCAAGTTCACATCCCGGCCACCCCGTAGGGCGTCCTCGAGGCCACTGTAGACTGCGGCACGGAGCTGAGATTGGTGGTCGCGGAGGTATCGGAGCCTGCTCTGCTCTGCGGAGGCCCACATGTCGACGATGTACTGCTGAAACAGGCGTCCACCCCGGAGCACTGTGGAGAACTCGTCGTGGCGTACCTGAATAGAAACCTATTGTGAGAAACACTGTCAAGATAAAGCAGTGGCTGATAGGGCCATACCTGTATCTGGTAGGCATAAAATCGTGTCTGTGATAAGCGGCGACGGCCGTCCTCGAGTCGAAGGTCCCAGTGCCACCCGTGTGTGCCGAACGGAAAAAGGAGGGTGTACTGGAGAGGGGCATACGCAGGGTGCGTCTCACTGATGCGCTGCAACGGACCTGCACGACGACGGAGAATGATGTCTCGGCCGCTAGATCCTGCTGGTGGCTCTCCCATTCCAGGAAGTACAACCGCCACATCATCCGCAGTGGGCAGGTTGTATCGACGGCGATCGTGTTCAGTGTTGGCCACCAGACGCACACAGATGTCGGCCGAGTCGTCGTGCAAGGAGAGGACTTCGTACGCATGCTTGTACACTTCGGCGTAGCGATGCGAAGCCAGGAGCATGCGTTGGAGGCGCTCTAGCGTATCCGCGCGCAAGTTGCTGTTCCGTCGAGCGCGTTCCTGCAAAGCCATACGTGGGTCGAAGATGTAGAGCTGCGAAAAAACGGGAGGGCGTCCTTCAACAGGAAGGAGAGAGCCGGAGAGATGACAGAGCTCCCCATGTATGCGAAACACGTACGGCGCACGGCCGCCATGCCGGTTGATGGCCTCGTCGATTTCAACACCAAGCGACGTGAAGGCAAACGCAGCATTGTACTGCCGTATGTTGTCTCTGAATTCTCGAGCTTGCGGGGAGTCGCCAGTGAAGAGGTTGCGGAGTGCGAGGGGAGGGTCGGGGTAGGCGGGAAGACACACTTGACCGCTGTCGCAGCACTGACCGAAGCGCGGATGCGCGGCTGAGCTGCTTGCAAGTCGCTCTGCCGCCCAATGCAGCGCACGGCAGGACGGACACTCTACATCCATGCGCCCCAAATTGTGGCGTGCGACGTCGGCTTCGTTGTATGGCCTACGTGCAAGAGGCAAGAGTGCACGTGCTCTATGCACTGGGGCAAGATTCTGCTCTGTGGCCCGGGAAATGTCAGTATCTTGTACACAGATGGAGCTCTATGCCACTGAGCTCACCATCCGAATGTTGGTTTGCTACAATGGGCGCTGCATCAGCGGGTGGTAGCACGGACCTGTCTTCAGGAGGCGGAGTGACGGGGGCATGATTCTCAACAGGTCTGTGAGCGTCGTGCTCCAAATTTTCAGCCCGAGGCTCCGTTGGGGCATAGCCCTCGTTGGTTGGAGGCGGTGTAGGGAGAGGAGCACGGGGAGCTATTGGACAGTCAGCGGACTGAGCCTGCTCTCAGTGTGAAATAATGTATACCACACCTGTGCCTGTAGGTCGTACGTCGCGCTCAAATCGGCCATCTGGTCCGGAGTAGACGAAGAAGATACGCTGCTGTTGGGGCGGCGGTGGCGGTAGTTCATCCTGGTTTTGTCGTGAGTGTGAACTACGGTGTTCTGCTAGTCCTTGCAACCGTATTGAACGCTGTAGCAACGGTACACGTGTATATAAGTACTTACTGTGGGTCCTCTCTGCACTGGCTGAAGGCCCTGCGCTGGCAGGAACGTACTGCGCGAACCGAATTTGTCCATTCCGAGGGACCGGAGGTTGACGGTTGCGGAAGGGCGTGCGGGCTCGGGGAATCCCTGCCAAGCTCTCAACCGCGTCGGATTGTTCATGGTGCGGCAGACATGTTGAAGGAGATTCACTGCGCAGCTCTCTGAGAGTCGCAGGAGGGGAGAGCGGGAGATTTTCTTGTTCTTCTTCCACTCGATGGCGCCGGGGACGGTCTCCGAGCACTTCATTGGCCTGCTCCTCTTCCCGCAAGCGTCTTGATCTCTGGCGGGCAGAAGCACGGCGCTCTTCAGCGGATCTCGCATCCTCTTGACGGATAGACCGGGCTCTTAGTGTCATCGAGGTCGCGGGCGACGTAGGGAGGGACGGACAGGCCGGACAGGCCGCTCGCTCTTGGCCGCTGGGGCGACGGCCGATCCATCGGGGGCGGCGGGACTGCTAGAAAAGTCGACGTCATGTTGCTGCCAGGGGTGCCTGCGCCGAGCGTGCGCGACGCGACGAAAGAGGGCGCGACCGCGACGCGTCGGTGGCGCGGTTAAACCGCCGCAAGAGGCGCATCAACTCATGGGCGCCTGTTTAGTGCGGTCGTCTGCCGGAATGTCCCGTCTCCCAAGCGCCCGTAACTTAGCAAGCTGGTTTTATATGTCCGAGAGTGCGTCTGATCTGGCAACGCATATGGAGACATGTGGAATTAGGTCCACAGTGCGGCCATGAAATTCGATTATTTCCCCAAACCTCGTAGCGTAGACGATGCACGGTGCAAGGTAAGATGGTGCTACTAAAACAGGCAACTTCCATAAAAGGCGACCGATGCTCTATACAATAGAAGATAAGTAAGTCCGGTGTAACCTCCTTCAACAGAGTGGACACGCGGGTTTCGAAACGAGGACGGAAAGATACTACCTACCCTGATGACTTATCCACAGCTCACGACTTTTATAGACACAAATACCGTCACTTCTGGCAATTCGACCGCACAAGATACGGAGCTACTAGATCTCGAGTGTGGCCTATATCCGATGTAGTAAGAACCAGCGCAACTGTATAATTGCAAAGCTTAGCACGCACCGTCGAAACTTGCTCCGAAATCTCTCGCAGACTGTTACAGACCTTCGCTAGGTCCCGCGAGCGGTTTTTGCAGGTGGGGCACCAAAACCCGCTGGCGATAGTTCCATCGAGGATCGATGCAACGTTATGTTCGACGCCGTATGGCTGACTGCGGGCTTCGAGACACATCTTCGAGACGTACTTGCACAACCATAGCTTTTTAGTAGAGGACCTGAATCCTCCGTGCTCGTGTCCACAAAGGGACACGTCGGAACCCCCAGCACTGGCCGGCTCCGGAGCCCTGGGAGGAGGCGCCGGAGTGTGTACAGCGGGCCCAGCTGTGAGGGTTCCAGAGGCGGGACGTTCGGGGTCTCTGGGGAACCTACGCTCGAGCAGTCCTGTGGCAGCCGCACGACACGAGGCGTGGTAGGTGAGCAGGCGGTGGTACGCCAAAGCAGGTGTGTCTTCTAATTCCGGAATATACACCCCATCTGGCGACTTGTCGAGCGAATCCTTTGCGGCATCCTGCGCGCGTTCGCGCAGACCCCGGGTGACGGCGACGCAATACGCACAGAATGGGTCCATCTTCGCCTCCACTTCCCATAGCCTCTCCACTTCGCGAGTAACCGCATCCGTGTGATACTTCTCCGCAAGACACAGGAGATCGGCGACGATGTGCAGGTCGTATAGCGAGGGTGTCTCCATTCGCGGGTAGCAGAGTCGCAGAAACGGGGCGAGCACTGCGGCCCGCGCGTTCACGTGCACGGTGGGGAGCTTCATCTCCTGCGTGTTTGCTGGGGCGTCGTGCCCGTCGATGGCGTCTGCGACATCCCTGGCAAATTCCGCAGCCCCGATATCATCCAGGAATCTACTCGAGATGGCGCAGAGCACGTCCTTGTGTACCCCGAACTCCATTCCGTCGGAGGATCGACATATGACGGTGGGAGGCTGATCGTCTGGGAAAGGGACCGGGGGCCATACATGGAGCGAGTCGTCAGTTTCTGTGTTGCGCGATGCCTCAGGAGGCGAAAGGAACGGGAGCTGCATGTCGCCGGAGGAGCGAGGGGTGCGATGGAACTCGCGCAAACGGAAGTAGTCGCCAGCGCAGATGCCGTTCATTCCACTGAGACTATTGAAGTCAAGTGATGGCACATTCCGCAATTGCTGGGCGGCGAGTTTGGCAACGTCTTCTAGATGCAGACGGCAGGCGACCGCCCACACCGCCAACGGCATGCGCTCCGCAAGGGTCAGGAGGTGGTCTGTCAGAACAGAGACGGGAGATTCCATCTCGTACTTCATCGCGGCGCGGAGCATGGTCTCTATCGCATCCAGGGGCTGGCCGAGGGGAGGGTTTCTAATAGGGTAGCAGATGCGGAGAAGCGTCTCGATCGTCCCGCTGTCCTCGGCGAGATCGACGATGGGTGCGTGCGGAGACT